GCAAAAGAGAGGAGAGAGTAAAGAGAGGTGTGTGTGAAGAATAGTGGAGAAAGAGAGAGAGAGTGTGTGTGAGAGATGGAGAGAGTAAAGAGAGGGAGGGTGTGTGAAGGATAGAGGAAATAGAGCATGTGTGCATGTGTGCGTATGTAGGAGAGTGCGTGTATGTGTGCATATGTAGGAGAGAGTGCGCGTGTGTGTGCATATGTAGGAGAGAGTATATATGTGTATGTATATATATGCGTGTGTGTGTATGTAGGAGATATATGTGTGTGTGTATATATGTGTGTGTGTATATGTGTGAAGAGAGAGAGGAGTGTGATTGTGTGTGTGTGTGTGTGTGAATGAGTGTGCATGTGTGTATGAAGGAGAGGGGAGAGAGAGTGTGCACGCGTGAGAGAAGGTGACAGGAAAGAGAGTGTATAAAGAAAGAAAAAAAGGAAGCTAGAGCAAAACAAAATAAAAACCTGATGAAAGTGGGGGGGGCATTGAGAGAGAGAATGAGATATGGAACAAAAAGACAAGCTTGTTTGTTAGACATCATAAGACAATGAGCAAATGATTAAAAAGTCGGTTGGGATGGAAAGGCACAAAAATATCTAAACTGAATTTCAATTAATGACTGACGAGGTAGAAAATTTCCTGAAGTAGGCTGCTATTTCTTTCTTTGGTAGACTGGTTGCCAACCAAGGCTACAGCCCAATCTGTCCTGCTATTTAATGCACAGCTGGGGAAGAAGAGATGGATTCATCTTTCGCAAGGCTATTTTAACAGATGTGAATAAAATTTACTACTCAGCCCAGGGATTGAACTCACAATTACTATGTCACCAATGCTATAATCTATTAGGCTACTGTTCCATGTACAAAAGTAAATAATGAGAACTCCACATCCTAGAAATTCATAAAGAAACTGTTTGATAATAGAGTTAGATCACTTTCACATATTCTCATTGGTGAAGAGGATGGTCAACTGCACTAAGTGAAGATAACCCATCATTCTGTTATGCCATAATACCTATTCTATTGTAATAGACTCTCCCACAGATAATAAGTAGTAGTAGCAGTCGCCAGTTGGGCTCAGTGGTGTTGAGCGAGTCAGACAATATCGGACATTGAAGTACCAACCATCACAACTAGATTGTTGCGTCATTAACTCTTATATCTAAGTTCCTAACGTTTTGTACGTCGAACCTAATTTAGGACGACTTATTGAAATACAAGCCTCCACTGTGAAAACTACTCTACAACACATTCTAATCTGCCATCCTTTCTCTGTTGTCTGCTATTCACTGATGACAATGGAAATGGTAATATTAGCCGTTTCCTTATAAGGAAACATTTGGTATTAATTGACCAAGCAGCCAATAGTGTTTTCAGATGAAATTTATAAAATCTTTCTCTTGAAACACTTTTTTAGGAAAACAGGTTTCTCAAGTCCAGTAGCTGTTATCATTCTTTCCAGTATTGATGGGAATTTCCTTCCTAACCTTTTTCTTTGAAGTGGTGTGGAATGTTAATATCTTGATTATGTCATTTTCTCTTCAAAATTCAACTTTATGGATAAAAAATAGTGAATTTTATCTGTTTTTTCGAGACTTAAAATGAGGAAAACAAATTTGCAAATTTTCACAAAAAAAAGAAGGAAAAAAAAAAAAACGCTCCCGGATTCACATCAAAATATTTGAAGATCTGTCATCCTTTAAAAGTCAGCTGTGTTTGTTTAATTTGTAAACATATATAAATGTAGGTAGAAAAAAACAAAACAAATGTTGATAAGATAGCAAGAATCAAAAAGCACTGCCCAGAACTGCCACTGGGTCAGGGGTTTCATGGGTAGTATGTACCAGCCATGTTTAAGCAATTCCTTTTAGAGATAATAATGATGTACTGATACAAGTCCTGCTAATTAATCCATAGCTGGCAGGGGAAGATGTGGATTCATACCGTTACCATATATATTTGCATGTAAGAGAATATACTGAAACTGACTGATTTCCAATTCTGAACAGCCTCTTAAACCACCTAAACATCAAAGCTTACAGCACTTGGTATCCTCAACTGGTCACCCATCTAGGTAGTAACCAGGCTCGATGTTGCTTATCCTTGGTCATCATATGAGAACTGGTGCTTCAATGGGATATAGTCATAAGTCATAAAAATGAAGAGTGTATAGAGCCAGAGTGTTGGGATTAAAAGCAACAATAATAAGATGGAATAAAACTAGTAATAAAATAAGAGTAATAATGAAGAGTGTATAGAGCCAGAGTGTTGGGATAAAAAGCAACAATAATAAGATGGAATAAAACTAGTAATAAAATAATAGTAATAATGAAGAGTGTATAGAGCCAGAGAGTTGGGATAAAAAGCAACAATAATAAGATGGAATAAAACTAGTAATAAAATAATAGTAATAATGAAGAGTGTATAGAGCCAGAATATTTGGGATTAAAAGCAACAATAATAAGATGGAATAAAACTAGTAATAAAATAAGAGTAATAATGAAGAGTGTATAGAGCCAGAGTGTTGGGATAAAAAAGCAACAATAATAAGATGGAATAAAACTAGTAATAAAATAAGAGTAATAATGAAGAGTGTATAGAGCCAGACTGTTGGGATAAAAAGCAACAATAATAAGATGGAATAAAACTAGTAATAAAATAATAGTAATAATGAAGAGTGTATAGAGCCAGAGAGTTGGGATAAAAAGCAACAATAATAAGATGGAATAAAACTAGTAATAAAAAATAATAGTAATAATGAAGAGTGTATAGAGCCAGAATGTTCGGATAAAAGCAACAATAATAAGATGGAATAAAACTAGTAATAAAATAATAGTAATAATATGAAGAGTGTATAGAGCCAGAGTATTGGGATAAAAAGCAACAATAATAAGATGGAATAAAACTAGTAATAAAATAATAGTAATAATGAAGAGTGTATAGAGCCAGAGTGTTGGGATAAAAAGCAACAATAATAAGATGGAATAAAACTAGTAATAAAATAAGAGTAATAATGAAGAGTGTATAGAGCCAGAGAGTTGGGATAAAAAGCAACAATAATAAGATGGAATAAAACTAGTAATAAAATAATAGTAATAATGAAGAGTGTATAGAGCCAGAATGTTGGGATAAAAAGCAACAATAATAAGATGGAATAAAACTAGTAATAAAATAATATCAATAATGAAGAGTGTATAGAACCAGAGTGTTGTGATAAAAAGCAACGATAATAAGATAGAATAAAACTATTAATAAAATAATAGTAATAATGAAGAGTGTATAGAGCCAGAGTGTTGGGATAAAAAGCAACGATAATAAGATGGAATAAAACTATTAATAAAATAATAGTAATAATGAAGAGTGTATAGAGCCAGAGTGTTGGGATAAAAAGCAATGATAATAAGATGGAATAAAACTAGTAATAAAATAATAGTAATAATGAAGAGTGTATAGAGCCAGAGTGTTGGGATAAAAAGCAACGATAATAAGATGGAATAAAACTAGTAATAAAATAATAGTAATAATGAAGAGTGTATAGAGCCAGAGAGTTGGGATAAAAAGCAACAATAATAGGATGGAATAAAACTAGTAATAAAATAATAGTAATAATGAAGAGTGTATAGAGCCAGAATGTTGGGATTAAAAGCAACAATAATAAGATGGAATAAAACTAGTAATAAAATAAGAGTAATAATGAAGAGTGTATAGAGCCAGAGTGTTGGGATAAAAAGCAACAATAATAAGATGGAATAAAACTAGTAATAAAATAATAGTAATAATGAAGAGTGTATAGAGCCAGACTGTTGGGATAAAAAGCAACAATAATAAGATGGAATAAAACTAGTAATAAAATAATAGTAATAATGAAGAGTGTATAGAGCCAGAGAGTTGGGATAAAAAGCAACAATAATAAGATGGAATAAAACTAGTAATAAAATAATAGTAATAATGAAGAGTGTATAGAGCCAGAATGTTGGGATAAAAAGCAACAATAATAAGATGGAATAAAACTAGTAATAAAATAATAGTAATAATGAAGAGTGTATAGAGCCAGAGTATTGGGATAAAAAGCAACAATAATAAGATGGAATAAAACTAGTAATAAAATAATAGTAATAATGAAGAGTGTATAGAGCCAGAGTGTTGGGATAAAAAGCAACAATAATAAGATGGAATAAAACTAGTAATAAAATAAGAGTAATAATGAAGAGTGTATAGAGCCAGAGAGTTGGGATAAAAAGCAACAATAATAAGATGGAATAAAACTAGTAATAAAATAATAGTAATAATGAAGAGTGTATAGAGCCAGAATGTTGGGATAAAAAGCAACAATAATAAGATGGAATAAAACTAGTAATAAAATAATATCAATAATGAAGAGTGTATAGAACCAGAGTGTTGTGATAAAAAGCAACGATAATAAGATAGAATAAAACTATTAATAAAATAATAGTAATAATGAAGAGTGTATAGAGCCAGAGTGTTGGGATAAAAAGCAACGATAATAAGATGGAATAAAACTATTAATAAAATAATAGTAATAATGAAGAGTGTATAGAGCCAGAGTGTTGGGATAAAAAGCAATGATAATAAGATGGAATAAAACTAGTAATAAAATAATAGTAATAATGAAGAGTGTATAGAGCCAGAGTGTTGGGATAAAAAGCAACGATAATAAGATGGAATAAAACTAGTAATAAAATAATAGTAATAATGAAGAGTGTATAGAGCCAGAGTGTTGGGATAAAAAACAACGATAATAAGATGGAATAAAACTATTAATAAAATAATAGTAATAATGAAGAGTGTATTGACCTCTGCTCAGATATAATCAAATATTTTAAAATTTTCTAAATTATACAAGAGTCATACAGTCTGTCCAATATTTAAACCCTTTGCAGTAAAGACTTGACTGTTGTAATCTTTCTTCGGAGAGGAAGTGTACCACCCACACTTGGAAACATTTTATATACTATTAAAATTCCTTCTGACATTAAACAAATGTCTAATTTACTGAATGTTTTGTCTGGGTTTGACTTCAACTCAGAAGAATGGTTGAGAACAAATTATTTAGGTCTGTTTTCATTATGGCTGGATGACATTCTCGTTTCTCTATCCTCCTCCCCCTCCTCTCTCTCTCTCTCTTTAAATTATTCTTTTTCCCATACAATCATTACCTCTATTTTTCTATTCCTATCTCCTCACACCATTTTCTCCTTCTCTCATCTCTTTCCTTCTGTTTCTCCTTCCATCTCTTCTTTTTCTGCCTATCTTTCAAGCCATTTACTCTGTATTCCTATCTCTCATTGCATCTCTTCTTATTTATAACTTTCTCTCTCCCTTGTTCCATATCCCCTCTCATTCCTTTCCTTCTTTGTATCTATTCCTGCCTCCCCCTTCTATTCTTTATACCCTTTTTCCCCTCCCCATCTGTCTTTCTTTATCTCTTTCCTTTGTATCTATCCTTTCTTATAGTCACCTGTCCTTTCCTCCTACCTCTCCTTTATAGCCTTCACTTTCTCCCTCCTCTTACATGTATCCCTCTCTTCTTTCACTCTCTCTTATCTTCTTTGCATTCATCTGTCCCTCCCTATCTCTCCTTCTATATTCTCTCCTTTATAACTGTCTCTCCCTACCCACTCATCTCTCCCTCCTCTTACTTTATATCTCTCTCTTCTCTTTGTATTCTTCTGTGCCTCCCTCCCTATCTCACCTTCTATATTCTCTCCTTTACTGCCATCTCTCCCACCCCTCTCTTTCCATCTCTTCTCTCCCTCCTCCTACTTTGTATTTATCTCTCTCCCCCTCCCCCTCTCTCCTTCCATCCCCTATCTCTCTCAAAACAGCAAAATTCTATAATTCTTTTTTCACCTTCTCCAATTGACTTAAAAAAACAAAAACAAAAAACTTCCTTTTGTCTGCAAACCTTGGATTGCTTACAAAATGACAAACAACAACTTCTTCATTTATCAATGCCAAAACTGTAAAGAATTTAACATTGGAATGCTGAAAAGAATGACTACCTCTAAACACCTGACACTTAATGTGTAACTCATTTCTTACTAAAGCTCCTCAATAACACAACCTTGTGCCAGACTAAGTTAAGATAAGCTTCATAAATAATAGTTGGAATTTGTAATGCTTATTTTTCCACCAGTGACAATGATCCGAAATGAAGCCCAAGTAAAAATTATAATTTCGGATGCAGACTTTCATGGCAAGCAAATTTTGACAATTGGCACAACACAATCTTCTCTCCTATTAGCTTCACTGATTTGAAATAGTGTCATTTTAAACTAAATAAATATCAAAAAGTGTTCCCTTCCCTTAGTAGTTTTTTTTAATGCCGTTGTTCACCCGATACAAGGCCCAAGAGCCACTCAAGGAAGAGGGTTACTGACAAACACTGCCTTGGTCTTCTATAGGTAATCAAAATTCAATTCCAGGTAACCGTTACCTCCAGGTTGCATCTTTTCATTGCACAGAGGTGAAGTGATAAGATGTGAAACTTTTAGAAGGTTTTAACGAACTAACAAAATGGCCACATTTTCTATTGAAGAGTCAACATCAAAAGGGAAGTTATTAATAGTAAGTCAAAAGGGAGATTACTAGGAAAAAACCTGTTCCCAAAGGGAGACAGGCAAGTGTCGAGAATGTCAAAAATGGTATATGAGGAGGGCAAATCTTTGACACCTGATGCATCCCAAGGATGGGGGGGGGGGTAAAAATAAAGATCAATATCTGACATACCCTAAAAGAAGAAGGGTAAGGGTCAATCCCTGATGTATCCCAAAAATGTTAGTTATGGGTCAGTCCCTGATCTTGGATGTATCCCAAAAAGGGTAGCTATGGGTCAGTCCCTGATCTTGGATGTATCCCAAAAAGGGTAGCTATGGGTCAGTCCCTGACCTCTGATGTATCCCCAAAAGGGTAGTTATGGGTCAGTCCCTGATCTCTGACGTATCCCAAGAAGGGTAGTTATGGGTCAGTTCCTGACGCTCGAGCCATCCATAAAGTACCGAGAGAACTAGACAATTTTTGGTATTACCCATATATACGAATGTTGGGCTCCAAATTAATTGTGACATTGTTTGTTTTGGCAACAGGTAAATATCCTTGTTAATATTTTATAATACTAATCTTTTCTCTAGTTTTCTACTTTACCTCTTCCCCTCAATGACGTTAATTACTTAGCTCAGTTATGGCACAAGGCCAAAAATATGAGCCACCCACTAAGCTACACATTAGTAAAGGTTAACCAGACTAGCTCATTAGCCATTACTCCATGCCAAGTTACCCTCTCATTTAGCAAGCTTAGCTTATTAAGGCCATAAGTAAGGGACACACAGTGAGAATCATACTCACTACTAATGCTCAATCAAACCAGCTCATTAACCATTACCCCATGCCAAGAGACCCTTTCTACGAAGCTGAGCTTGGTTTTGAAACAAGGCCACAAGTATGTAGCACCCAGTGAGAATTGGAGAAGTTACCTGCCTTGCATCATGATTAAAATTTCCAGGTTTCTTTGTCACTTTTAAAATTTTTCCTTGTATTTTCAATTTAATTTATGATAAGCAAAAAAAAAAACATAACATTTTATTTTGTTGGAATTAGAATAATTATAATAAAAATTTTAATTGTCCAAAGAAAAAAAAAAAAAATTTCCATGTTCGGTCAAATCTGGAACATTTAGTCATGACCCTGCAATAAATACAATTTCTCCTCAATGTATATGCAAATTAGAAATCATTTGAAGTTAAATTTCAACAGGATGTCTGGGATTTCTTTTGATAAATCCAACAATCCTATCTTGACCCCAGATTATTTTCAAATTTACATCCCAACTTTATATTTTCTTCCTTTCTCCTCCCATTTCATCTTGCCTTCTCATCCCCCACCATTTTGTCTCTCACTATCTCTTTCCATTGTCTCTTCTCCTGTTACTACTACCAGTGTAATTTGTAATTCTTACTCTTCCTCCTCTCACTGCAACACTTGCTTCCTCTTCCTCTGATTGTCTTGCCTCTTACTCCCATTTCAGTTTGTCTCCTCCTCTTCCAACTCCATTTGGTCTCCTTCTCTTCTCATCACAAGTGTAATTCTTACTCTTCCTCCTCCCATTAGGTCTCCTCCTGTTCTCACCATCACCAGTGTCACTCTTACTCTTCCTCCTCACATTTAGTATCTTCCTCTTACCACCACCAGTGTAATTTTTACTCTTCCTCCTCAGCGTCACCAGTGTAATTCTTACACCTCTCCCTCTCACTGCACCTCTTAACAAAATTAGCATTGAAATGCCATTGTACCATTATGACAAGAACTGCACAAATCTTGTAGGAGGAAAACCAAAAAGAGCAATGAACCTATCCCCCCACACACACACACTTTTGCATGTTAAGGCAGAGACACTGGAGTTGGGGGATGGGTGGAGAAAAAGATCTGGGTTAATTTGAATTCTGTCCATTGATAGTGTCCGTCTGCTACAAGACAGTAACAATAATAACACATCAGCCCAAAAAGAAAAAAAGATAAAAAGAAAAAAAAAGGCCCAAGTTCTTGTTTTCATCTGAGATAGGTAATTGTCTACATGCCCTTCACACGACCAACACCAAAAACAGCACAGAACACTGACAAATTAAGTTGCATCTATGTTAGTTGAGGGGTGGGGAATGAGACATTTGTCAAAAAGGTTGATGTGTGTATCAGGCCTTGAGCATAAGTTGGGAGAAGGTCAATGTTTTTTACCAAAACTCATACACTGAAGATAAAAAAAAATTGTATATACATGGACTATAATATCTTATTTTTAGATAAACTATTATTATTAGTAGTATTAGTAGGTTTTCTCTATTACCTTTAAAGTAACTAATTCTAAAATAGTAATCTAATAATATCTACTAAAAATACTCATGAAAACTTTCCTGGTTTTCCTATTTGAACTTTCTGTTGAATGAAGCCTTAATTTAATGATTGAATAAGCTCCTTGTGAGTTCTATGACAATAAAATACAAACCAATCATCAGATGCTTAAAAGTGATCAGTTTCACTGTTTGAACTTTTTATATGCACAGGCAGTGACTACGTCACCTCATAAGGGGAGTAGAGAATGAATTGCTTGATTTGTTTTCTACAGTTTATCAACCCATTGCAGGTTATTTAAAGCCAGAAAATATTTTTTAGATTATAAGAATATTTGGGGAGGAGATAATAATGATCTAGTGATACAAGTCTTACTAATTAACCCATAGCTGGGGGAGAATGGCTTCATATCATTTCCAAAGATATTTGCATGTAAGTCAATATAACAAACCCAACTGGAATTGGAACTTGACACTCTGAACCATTATCCATTACACCACCTGCACAACCAAGCTTATAGCATCTGGTATTCCCAAGAGGTCACCCATCAAGATACTGACCAGGCTAGACATTGCTTAACTTCAGTGGTCATATAGGAACCAGTATTTGAATGTGATGTGGCTGTAAGCCATATGCACATACATCTATTTATATATATATATATACTTTCATGTATATAATCTTACATATACAGATACGTTTTCATTTCACCCCAAGCAAGGCAATAAAGCCACACATGCACCATCCACACATCCAAACTTACAGCACTTGGTATTCCTAAACAGTCATCCATCTAAGTATTGACCAGACTCAACATTGCTTAACTTCAATGATCATACAAGAACAAGTGTATCAACATGATATGGCTGTAAGCCTAGGAATAGAGAAGTAACATGAAACAACCACCACCCAAAAAAAACAAAAACGCATGAATATTCATTGAATAAGATAAAATCCTGACAGATATTTTTATTGATGTTGTTGAGCTAGTAAACCACCGATATTTCATAATTGTCATTGAACCAGTTACCCTCGAGTGACATGACAGAAATCATCTTTTTCCATTGCCCAATCTCATACGTGGACTTCCCTACTTGTTTCCCGAGCAAAACTGAGCAGCAGGTTTCTCTACTTGATTTATTTCTTACCTCCTCTCCTCATGCTTGCTGAGCTTCGCAACACTGCCTTCTTGGTAACTCTGAGCACTCTGTGGTAGCTACTGATATTTTGTTCCAATCATCTATTAAACAGGAAACCCCTGTCCATAAGACCTCTTTCTATTAATAGCATGTTGATTGGGACTTATATATATATATATATTTTTAAAAATATGATTCCATCACTACATAAGTGTTCTCATGTTTCAAAAACAGAAGCTAAATGCTTCAATTTCATTTATAGAAATTAAATCAAATTAAAGCAGCTAGTTCTGTTTCATCCTCAAGAAAATTTTGGATTCCAAAATTCGCTTGAGGATGAAACAGAACTAGCTGCTTTAATTTGATAATTTCTATAAGTGAAATTGAAGTTTTTAGCTTCTGTTTTTGAAACATGAGAACTCTTATGTAGCGATGGAATCATATTTTAAAAAAAATAATTATAATATAGGCTCTACTGTTGTTTGAGCACTGTTTTTTTAAAAATAAAAACAACAATACTAAAGAACTTTGGATTATTAACTTAACAGTTCTTTCCTATTTTTCTATATACTCACACACACATATATATAAAATTGTGTATTTGGGCAGTTGTTTTTAACAAAACTTGTTTTAAAGAGAAATTTTAGTGGATACTTGTTTCTGAGTTGATGCTCTGTTTATTTATTGAACAGTATATATATTTATTTTCATCTACTGACTTGAATGTTCAAGAAATCTTATTAAAGAAAAATTTATGCTCTCTGGCAGGATTCGAACATGTATCCCTCTTGGCAGAGGGATCTTATCATTAAATTCAATACACTCTGATCAACTGAGCTATAAAGAACCAATTAGCACTCTGAAGCATTTATTAATATTACTTCCTCTTTTACTGTACAGGTTAACCCGAATATAAGTGAGTTGTTGGGACCGGAGAAGAAGTCTCTTATATCCAGGTTTTGTCTATTTTATATACATTAACACAGGCTCTAATTTTGGACCAGAGAAAATCTCTCTTATATCCGGGTTTCTCTTATATCCGGGTCTCTTATATCCGGGTCACACTGTATATGGAATCCCCTCAAAATATAATGTTTTATATATTAGTTTTATATATTTGAAATTGCAGTCACCTTGGCATCATATGAGCATTAGATTCTGAGAAATGGATAAAAATATTCGAAATTGATGGGTGTATGAATACTTTTGTTGTTGAGATATATATATATATGTAATCAAGAAGAAAACCTTAAATATTCATTTTGGTTATAACTTATTTCATGAATATCTATATATTTAACTATTCAGACCAAAAACTTTTAGTAAATTGAGACAATATCCCGGACTGGTATATTAGATTGGCATGGGGAAGGGAAAGCAAGAAGAAGGAAAGGAACAAGAAAAGTGATAGATGGTCATGTTCTTATAAAAAGTGAGACAGAGAGAAGAAGGAAGTAATGAATGGGTAGTAGTAAGCCTAAAATAGACAGACCCAGCCAAGAATTTTTCCCTTAAAGTGTGGAACTTTGTACATTGGGTTATACGGCAAATTGACCGATACAGCCCATTATTTTAGGCAGGACAAATCAACCCAATTCCATTTTATTTAGTCTAATAAAAGGGACCTTAATACAAATAATAAATAAAAATTACAATAATGGTAATAATATCAAACATAAGTGAAGGGATTTTAAATACAGATAAGTAATAAAAGTAAAGTTAGAAAACTAAAAGTAAAAACTGAGTAAGATGTTGTATGGGTAATGATACAAAAGTTAATTCATTTTATTTTATATATATATATATATATATATATATATATATATATATATATATATATAACAACTGGTCACTTGTATTTGAGGATTCCCATCTACTAAGGCAGTTAGCCAATCCCTATTGTAGATGTTCACTCAGTCAAATTTTTGTTTGCTCAACACCCACAGAGACCACCTGTGGTTTATACTGCAACTATGCTGAGCAGACCTTAGTTACAGTTTCTGAGAAAGAGTGTGTTATCTAGCATGATCAACAATTTGAACAAGGACAGTATGCTCAAACCCTCAGCCATGATAACTAGTGGCTTTTGTGCTAGCACAGCTATCAAGGGCCCTCAAGATTTCTGTCTACCCAATTTCACTCACAGGGCTTGGGTCAACAGACACTTTCCAAAGGGGCCACATGCTGGGATCGACCTCAATCTATTCCGATAATATCAAGAAGTCTCATTCCTGACAAATCGCCCATAGTGAGATTCGAACCCAGGTCTCATGGTTGTATAGCAAATGGTCTAACTACTCGGCCACATGCCCATAATGAATCATTTGAAATGTAAGAAAAGAATAGGCATGGAATCAATAGTCAGAACAACTCTTGAGATTATATATATATATATATATATATATATATATATATATATATATATATATAAAATGAGTGCATAAAGCACTATTTGCAAGTTAAAACATAAGAAAACTTAATCAAAAACAAATAAGAATATTTCCATGTAAAATTATTCAAGTAGATTTAATTGTTTCAATAAAATTATAAATATTATAAATATTAGAGTGAAATATAATGAAATGTGCCTTGTGTTTATTTATTTTTCAAATACTATTTCTTTTTAAATTTCGGTTACAAAATTTTTGTGTCACAAACTTAAAGAGTAAATGCATCAAAATAAATATTCTTGAACATTTTAACAGTGTTCTTATTATGTGATCAAATATGAAATATATCAAATGAAATATATCTGTTTATAAATTATTAAGAGTAATTAATTAATTATTAATTATCAGTAAATATAATGTTAAAACTCTAGAACGAGATATATATGATTATAAATGACTGAATTCTAATTACAAATTAAAATAATTTAAAAAAAACAGTCTTGTTTGACACACTTGTTCCCAGATGACCACATAATGAAATGTGATTAAAATGATTGAATTATGATTACAAGTTTGAATAATGCTAAAATATGAAAAAAAAAAAAAAATATATATTTGATATACAAGATTTCTGATGATGGTAGGATGAATTTTATTACAAGAAAAAAAGATATATCAGCATGAATAAATCATCAGTTGAATGCTATGAGCATTTTCCTTAATCTGATATGCCTTGTCAAATTATAGACACAGGTTATATGCTGAAAATACACACATTTTATATATATATATATATATATATATATATATATATATATATCAAGAGTTTTTCAGACTATTGATTCCATATTCCTATTCTTACATTTCAAATGATCCATTCTTACTGACTCTTTCCCAAGTCGAAAATTAGAGAAGTCAAATCAGTGTAGATTTCAACACTGTGTGTGTGTCTGTGTTAGCTTTTCTTAGCAATAAAAGGTTTGGTTATGAAGCCTGTATTTAAAATATGGAAATGCCAGTGCTGCATAGAATACAATAAGCATTAGTGTAATTGGTCACTCTGAGCAATATATTTGTCACCATTTCTTTCTTGTTCTTTTTTGATTTCAACAGCAATAAGAGATGGTTCATATACACTATCTAAAAAAAAAAAAAAAAAAAAAATTAGACTTTTGTCCTGAGGAAGGTTGGAGAATGGATCTATCAAAATTTTACAGTAACAACAAATAGAACAAGAATGAGATAAATTGCCCCTAAAAGTATTTGTATTCTCTTGTTATCTTAAAATATAAAAAATTAACCCAAGATAATAAAGCCACTAAGATGCAAGGGGGTTACTGAGTGTGAAAGAATTTGAGAAAAAAAAGCATTATTAAAGGAAGAGAGAGGACAACAAAAGAACAAGAATCAAGACAGAAGATAATGGTCAATATTGCCTTTAAATTTTTGAAGATCAAAGTTGACTGGAAAGCAAGATGCTGAAAGAGATTTTCACAAGTGAGAAGTGTGAGAGAAGAAACTGTTAGCATAGAACTTAGTTACATCTAGCCATTTCAAGTGTAAAATGATGAGACCTTGATGCCAATCTAGCACTGCACTTAAATTCATAAAGTCTAGGTACCAAACAATTAGAACAATTAGCATGAAAATATTTATAGAAAAGGCAGAGGGAAGCTATATTATGGCTTAAATTCATAAAGTGTACGTACCAAAGAGGAAAGCTTATTAGAACAATTAGCATGAAAATATTTATAGATAAGGCAGAGGGAAGCTATATTATGGCTTAAATTCATAAAGTCTAGGTACCAAAGAGGAAAGCTTATTAGAACAATTAGCATGAAAATATTTATAAAAAAGGCAGAGGGAAGCTATATTATGGCTTAAATTCATAAAGTCTAGGTACCAAAGAGGAAAGCTTATTAGAACAATTAGCATGTAAATATTTATAGATAAGGCAGAGGGAAGCTATATTATGGCTTAAATTCATAAAGTCTAGGTACCAAAGAGGAAAGCTTATTAGAACAATTAGCATGAAAAATTTATATAAAAAAAAGGCAGAGGGAAGCTATATTATGGCTTAAATTCATAAAGTCT